GAGGAGGAGGAGGAGGAGGCGGAGGAGTTCGAGGAGACGGCGGAGGGAGACGGAGGACGGAGGACGGAGCCGGAGGAGGGGGTGTGGAGGAGGAGGCGGGGAAGGTGGAGGAGGAGGCGGGGGGGGGAGGAGGAGGAAAAGGAGGAGGAGGAGGAGGAGGAGGAGGAGGAGGAGGCGAAGTAGGAGGAGGACACATGGAAACCCAACCGATGTTGGAATTAACCCTCCCTCCAAACTCCCCCCTCGTAGGCCCCTACAACGGTTGATTTCCATTGATGAAAGAAAAGTGCTTCGCTGGAGGCAGCAGTTTGATTATCCTGGAATGTGCCAAGGCATTATTTGCAAGTTTGTACGTCACGTATCAACCTGACGGCTGCGTCTTGACAATCCAGAATCGTGCCAGAACGCCACGTTTGGGACTTCACCACAGCGAACCAACAAAACTTGCTGCATCAGCATAATCCTGAACCCTTCCAAAACACCGTTTGGCACGCTGATCACGGGAACCCGTGAGGCTATTGCAAGTTCTTTTGTCCGTAAAAAACGAATGCGCGCGGCCCTAAGGCGAGAGCCACATTGTGAAACGGAGCCGCCCTCAACCCGTGAAGCTCTTGTAGGCTTTGGAAACGAATGTGCGCGGCGCTAAGGCGAGAGCCACATTTTGAACACCCGCCCTCAATCCGTGAATGTCATCCACATGTTTAACACGAGTGTTCTCGGCGCTAGGGCGAGAACCACATTTTGAAAACCACCCGCCCTCAACCCGCGAAGCTCTTGCACATTTTGAAAACGAATGTTCGCGACGCTCAGGCGAGAGCCACATGTGGAAAACGACCCGCCTTCAATTCATGAAACTCTTGGGCAGGTTTATACATGATGTGCGCGGCGCTGAAGCGAGAGCCACATTTTGAAAATGGCCCGCCATCCGTGTGTGACGCTTCTGCCCCTTCCTAAGATTCAGAATCATAAGTGGTGAGGACGTCTCAGACGAAACGCCCGACCCGCCCTAAAATCGCCCCGGGGTGCGACAGGGAAGAGACATCTGTACGGATAAGGACAAAGGGGGAGGAGGACTAATAATAATAATAATACGAGGAGGAGGAGGAGGAGGAGGAGGAGGAGGAGGAGGAGGAGGAGGAGGAGGAGGAGGAGGAGGAGGAGGAGGAGAAGGAGGAAAACGAGGATGATGAGAAGGAGTGGGAGGGGGATTTGACATCAACCGTGGCAAACCCAGGCGGCGGCAGCAGGCGCCGCCTCCTGCTATCTGGACTGGAGGAAGGCAGGCCACCGAGCAGTGAACTGAGATAAGGAGGGCGGGCGCGAACGCCACGGGGCGATATCCCGCGAGGGGGGGATCCCCTGTCATGGACCGGGGGGCCCCCCCCCCCCCCCCCCCAGAGCCCAGGACCCGAAAGAAGAGAAACCAGGGCGAGAGACGCAGGCCACGCCAAAGGGCAAGGACTGCATCTCTTGGGTCAGTCTGAGTCACCAGACGGAGGCGCGGCTGGCGCAACAAGGGGCGCTTCGTCCCCGTCGAGGGTCAGGGCAGCCCTGTCGCGCAGGAACACGACAGCCGAGGACAGCATGGCATCTGACGCGTGCGGGGGCCGTGGCAGCGCGCCCGCCTCGGGCGTGCCAGATAAAAGCTGAGCGGCTTCCCCTTCCGCACCAATCGGGTCCGGAAGGATGGGCCAGGGCGCGGCAGCAGCGACGATGATCGACGACTGCCCAAACGGCGGGCCGAGGACTCGTTCAGGCTACGGGCCCTGGCCCTTGGACACAGGAGGCCCGGCCTCCAGCACCACGCCTCCAGGAGAGCCAGGCTGGCCTCCTGCAGCTCGTGGGAAACGTCGCGCAGCCCTGGCGGTGCGCTGCTTCTTCTCTTGCTCTGTGAGGCGGCGGGAACTGCCCCCAGTCGGGCCATCGCCAGTGCCGCACCAGGCACCCACCCACCCGGAGATGCCTGAGCGCCTGGGGCGCCTACCTTCCTCATCGGCTTTCCAGGCCCCCTTCGCACCCGCACTCTGACGCGCACCGTCACATGGCATGAGCAGGTTGCGCGGCTGGCCATGCGAAGAGTAAGCTTCGCACCTCGCTAAGGCAGCCCCATCCGAACAAAATCACCTTGTGACGTACCCAACCCATTTGTATCATGGGAAACGAGTGGTTGGCCGAAACTTGCATGGACAATCGAAATGCAGGATCCGCTGTTTGATATGTAAGCTACTTGGGGCATGCGCCTATGGCATGATGCGCAGGAGAACCATACAAGAACGATGGGGCGACAACTACAGGCTACGGGGTCAAATTTGGAGTCCGCCGCGTGCGCCCAATGTGCAGGGCCCCCCCCAGCAGGCCTCGAAAGTAGCGACAGTTTCGCAGATCGCAGCCCCTCAGGGAAGGCGAGGTTTAATTTCAATCCGCCGTGTGTACCCGCTGTGCTGGGCCCCCCAGCAGGCCTCGCAAGTGGCGTCAGTTTCACAGACCGCGGCCCCCCAGGGATGGCGAGGTCCAATTTCAGTCCGCCGTGTGCACCCACTGTGCTGGGCCCCCCAGCAGGCCTCGAACGTAGCGACAGTTTCACAGATAGCAGCCCCCCAGGGATGGCGAGGTCTAATTTGAGTCTGCGGTGTGCACCCACTGTTCTGAGCCCCCCCCAGCAGGCCTCGAACGTGACGACAGTTTCACAGATCGCAGCCGCCCAGGGATGGCGAGGTCTAATTTGGATCCGCGGTGAGTACCCACTGTGCTGTGCCCCTCAGCAGCCTTCGAAAGTGGTGACAATTTAACAGATCGCAGCCCCGTCAGGGATGGCAAGGTCTAATCTGAGTCCGCCGTGTGCACCCATTGTGCTGGGCCCCCTAGCAGGCCTCGAAAGCGGCGACGGCTTCACAGATCGCAGCCCCCCAGGGATGGCGAGGTCTAGTTTGAATCCGCGGTGTGTAC